TTCTCTCAATGGGATATGCATCTATATTTTCTGAGTTTCTTATGAGATCCTTTTCATGAATTTTATATAAAGTTTGAATGAGCATCTAAAATAGGGATTATAGTAAATCTATGTGGATAAAGATAATGTTTGGTTACAAAATGAAGTATACTTCCAGTACCAATTCAATTTTAAAGGGTACTTACAATGGTGTGTTACAATCATTATCAGTAAATTCTTGGTTACAATGGTGTGTTACAATCATTATCACTAAATTCTTGGATTTTGGCCATCGTCTGTTTTTTTTTTTAAAAAAGAACGCTACATTTCGGAAGCTGGGTCTGTTTCCGTCCTCAGGTTAAAAGGGGGAGGAGCACGTATTCAGTCATATAGATGTAATTACACTATCTTAGGTAGTCCAGTGATTGAGGTTAGCTCTTTCTATTGGACCCAACTGAGGAGGTGCTCCTCCCCGCCTTTTTAACCTGAGAATGGAAGCAGATCCATTTTCAACAATGTAGTGTTCTTTTTTAAAAACACAGGCAATGGACATAGTCCAAGAATTAAGTGATTCCAATTCCAGTACCAAGTTTAACTGATATTCAACAAGTATTTCTGAAGACTTGTAAATTTATCATATAAGCTGTCATACTTTAAGTCAGTATATAATACAACAAATGACTAAAGTTTTTATACTCATAATGGCAAAATTATTCCACTGGTATAAATTAAAATTAACCTTTCTCATTTCTACAACTTTCTTACAGATCAAAGATAAGCTTTCAGACTTTTTCACTTCCTGCAAATATTGCTATGGAAAGTGTCATTATGATAAAATTCCTTTTGTGTTGACCATCTTGTACATCATATTAGAATAGCAGAAAATGCAGGAAAATCAAACTACTCATGCAAAAAACAGTGTCCATTTTATTAAAGTTACTTCAAAAATTAAAATAAAATTGTACAGTATAACAGAAAAATATTATGAAAAATGAAAGGTTACTGAATAAAATGATGTGCAGAGGCATAAATAAACATACAAGGATACAAGGGTACAGTCAGGTCTGGGGAAACATTAATCATTCAGTCAAAACATTTATTCATTTATACAAATCCAGAAAATTTATGTGAACACATACTTGAATAATCATGCAAGTCTGAAGAACTTTATGAGAAGTCAAAACACTGCATATTTCTAAGTGTTTAAAATTATTAATTGAAATTAAAGCATATTCTGTAACATGCTGATGAAATTCTATTGATTGATTCCTGTAACCACTGATTAACATGTTTGGAGCTGAAAAAGAACCCAGTAAGAAATTTGATGTTTCCTCAAAACACTGAAAAACTAAGTTACTAACTCACAATTAAAAATATGTTATACAAAGCAATAACAAAGAAAGATATCAATCAGACCATCTGCAAACAGTTCATTCCTACAATTACAACTGTGTGTCATTAAGTTCTATTTTCCAACAGAGATTATAATTATTTAGCTTGAATGTGAGGGAGTCAAACACAATCTACACGTTGCTTCACACAATTCTGCCTGCAATTACTAAACAAGTGGGGTCAATACAGAATCATAATTACAATCTTTCACTATCCGTAGGTAACATGAACATGAAGAAAACTCAAGGGGAAAAGCACCTCAACCAAAACTGCTCCACGCAAGTTTGAATTACAAAGAAAATAATTCTACAAACTGAAAAATGTAATCTTAACCATATCCCTGAATGTAATAGTGATGTAGTCACTACTCTTACTTCATACTAACATGGCCTCAAGTCTGAGCTTCTGTAACACTGGCTGATACGCTACAAGGTAATGCATACCTTACATCACTCTATCCCTTCTGAAAATTTTACATTTTCCAAAAACAGATCAAGGACATAAAAATCCTAGTCTCAGTAAATTTATAAATCAGATTTTCAAGGTCAGACATCAAACAAGTGGCATTAACATAATATAAATAAAACATACATTTCAACTGGCATCAGTTTAAGGCTGGGGCCACACGACTGTACAAAGTACGTGTGGCCCCAGCCTAATCCTATGTGATAAAGTAAGCGATGACAGGGGTAGAAAAAATTACACAGTCTCTAGTTTACATGGCCACAGCCAGGGATATCAATGGTATGTAGGATTTGAGGTTTTTACGGCAGTGAGTCTGAAGATTGCTGTCTTCTGAGTTATTGCACCGTGTAGTCTGGTAGATTTCCACCAACGTTTTAGAGGTCATACTGCCTCTGTCATGACCCTGATGACGGAGGCAGTATGACCTCTAAAACGTTGGTGGAAATCTACCAGACTACACGGTGCAATAACCCAGAAGACAGCAATCTTCAATATCAATGGTAGTCAGTGCAGTACGAACAGCACACGACAAAGTACATGCTAACCAATTCATTCACTACTTTGTGCACTTTGTGTGTTTTACAAATTAATTTCATGCATAGCTATTGTAGGCAAGTTATGTTATTTGAAACTAACACAATATCTTTCTTCTCTATCAGATGTCTCGAATTACCAATACAACGTTTAGAAGTATAGCAGAGATTTACCAGTTAAAATGATGTGTTCCCCACATACATAAATACTGTATTTGTCTCTGACTCCCACACAAACATACATCTGGGATAATTATTTCTGCTGAAACAAGCTCGCAACATACCTGGTGTATTACTGGCATGCATAACTTAAAAAAAATTATAGACATTAAATCAGCATACATTCTATAATAATTCTGTAAAGAGAGGAGAATAAATGTATAATAAATACGATATTAATCCATTGAACATGTTACCCACTCCATACATTAAAATGTTTCCAATTAAAACATTAATACACTGGAATCAAAATATCCAGTACTTGAGAAATACCAGTATTATCTACTGCAATAATGGCCATTAATTTAAAATATGTATTTTTTTAATTTTAAGGAATATCCAAGTATATACAAAATTGTACTCTAATAAGCATAAGTACTAATTAATGGTGGCCCTAAAGAACATTAAAATTAAAGAGCTTCAACTTCCTCTTCCAAAAAACATCAATTAGTAAATTCATACTCAATAGAATTAAACATCTATAAATTATCTGATTCAAAGACTAGAGCATGTAAATATGAAATATTTACCACTGTGGACTACAATGCAAATTTCACATCTACCTCTGTTTATATTCTGAAATATTAATAACATTTTTATTACTGCTTTTAGTTCAACACTTTTTGTAACAAAATTAAAGAATGGTGGAAGTAGAATTAATTTACATACAGGACTGCTTTGTGACAGGGGTATCCATACTGTTTTTTGCCTTTCAATTTCTAGTTTAGCACATAATTAATGGCAAGTCAAGTAATCAAAATATCTACAAAATCATAATATCTAAATTATCTTCAGTCCACACTGGTCTGTATCAATGCAGCTGGAGATGCACAGTTCTGCAGTTATTTATTTGACAGATAAACCCAAATAAAATGTGTATCACTCCTACAGTAGGACTATGTTTAATTCTACTCTTACTGAAATGAGGTATAGCACTGGCGTCCCAAAATCAGTTTTCATGCTACTGAAGAGAACTCATAACTTTGAAAATCCTAGTATGGAAGAGCAACTTTCTCATTTCAGTTTCAGAATATATTTTGTTAAATTCTTGCCTTGAGCAAATGTACCAGAATGGGTCAAAGGCCCATTCCTTGTAGTGGAAATGAATGAAATGAAATTCTTCTAGGCTTACTTAACAATGGGAGATGAGAAGACTGCATTCCAGTATTTGACAGAGAAAGAAATTGCAAATACCAGTCTTGCATGCTAGGAACGTTTTATTTCAATAACATAGAATGTCCTCCACTAAAATAAATTAATTCCATGGAAGACCAACACATTTACCATTCAGTCACACATAATCTCTTTGGAGTTTAAAAGTTAAATGAGTGTTGTTCTATGAAAAGCTTTTGCATGACTGGTGAAATCAGACCTAAAATATAAGGAATTTCATATTCACGATTAATTAAAAAAACTAAATTTTGTGTGGAATATATATAGCTGCCAACTTCAATGACAGCTTATACAGCAGCTGTCAGACCTTCTGTTGATATGACTGTCAGTCATACTCATATGTACAAATCAGAAGGTGTGAAGTGGTGCCAACACTGACGCTGGTCTTCTTGGTAATAACACCACGTGAACTTGTAGGTATATTCCGAAGTTTTGGAGAAACGCACTGTCTCCTCGAGGCTGAAGACAGTATGTTTCTTCAAAATACTCTTATCTACCTACAAGTCCACAAGAAATTACTACCTAGAAGACCAACACTGAAATCTTCTGTGACAAACTCAAACCTGATATGGCCACATCCTCTTTTGAGGCACTGTACTTCATTTGTTACCTTTGCTGCATTTGTTGCTGGACAGACTAAAGGAAATGATAATGATAAAGATAAAGCAGGCCAATGAGGTAAGGCCTCCACATGCAAACCACAAGCACTATGCCTACAGTTATATAACTTTGGTGTCCTAGAATGAGGTTACTTTTATGAAACTTTTCTCATATATGCATTTATAACTGAGCATAATATAAAATCAACTGCACATGAGTTATATTCTTCCACTTCATTTTGTCTTGTAAATATTTAGTTCTGAAACCCATTTCATAAAATTATAGTAATTCAGTAACTCCCAAATCTTAAATAATAGCATTCAGCCTCCATGAAGATACAGGAGTTAGAAGATTATGTAATTTAGTTCAAGAATTATTAGCAGCTCAATGGAAATATATGTGTGGTTTCCTTCCACTATAGCTCCATTATTTGCTTGCATGTCTATGCAGTATACTCACAACTGCTTCTATGCCACATTAAAACATGATTAACAAGGTAACGAGAATAAATCTGTAACATTTGGCAGTTACAGAAATTTAACTCTTCAAACCATAAGATCAATTGCTTTCTGAAGTGAGTAACCGAAGTCCAATGGAACAACATCAATGTGTTATATGAAGAATTATTTCTGCTCCTACCCGACCACTTTGTTAGCATCCCACTCAGCATCAGTGCTACTAGACTTCACAGGTTTCCAAAAGTCCTGTTGCTGCAGTGGGGGTGATGCCTGGGCATTGTTTTCAAACCTGGGGTTAGGATCGAACCTCTGGAATGTGGAGAAGCGCCCTGAATCACCTCCATTAGCATTTTGCTTTACGGTTTCCGATAAAGATCGATGATGACTGTGATGTAGTGGAGTGTGACGCCGTGAAGATGGTGAGGGAGGGGGAGAAGTACACCTGTAATATAAAATATGACATCACTTGAAAGAAACAAACTCTTGTTGTGTTACAGTGAGCTATAATATCTGCAAATATAGCCCTCAAAACTCATCAAACATAATGAATTAAGAAGTTAATCATCTTCAAAATGTGAATTATATCCATCTTACACACTGCTCTTCACAGACTGAAGGTTATCTTACCTTCGAATTGGTGAACTGCATGACGAGTTAACCTCGAACTGTTGCTTGGCTCTAGCATACCATTCTGCCACATTAACATTTGCGGTCCCATATTTTTTCATAAATGGAAGTTTCAGTAGATCTCTATATTTTGGCCTTTGTGCATAATTCTTTGTAAGGCTAAAACAAAATACAAAAGTAATATTCTCAGCGTAATGAACAAACATCCCATCATATCTCAATCACTGATACACTATAATAAAACCAGCTCTTGTCTGTCATATACACAGCATTTAAAACAGGTAGAAAAATGAACCTCAAGTTCGAGAATTTTAGTAGTGTTAGCATAATAATGCACTTACTGTAATACAAGACAACAATCAAAAAATTAAAAGTGAAAGAAAAGTAATGGAGAAATCAACTTATTAAAAAAGAATGAAAACTGTGTACAACTACCATGGGTGCATAGTATTTCAGAATATTCATCACTACATTCTTCAAAGAGAAGATTATAAAAGTTCCATACATTCACATTCTTCCATGCTTATAGTCACACTCAATACAAACATGTCAACAGATAAGAAATGTAGTTTTTCTGACATTCTGCTTCAGGTCTACAAACAGAAAATTGTTGAGTCATAATGACATAGATGAAGGTGAATTAACAATAACGTTTTCTGCTAAGACCACAAACATGAAGACTAAAACAGGAAAAATATTAAAATGAAATATATTACATTGTGATTCCACTGTAAGTGCAAAAAGGGTAACAATGCAATAAATTTTATTTCCGAAAACCACCGACTACTGAAAAATGTACAACAGTAAAAACTGGAACTGTAGTAACATGTGTGTTTGCATAAAGAAAAACACAGGGTTGGATAATAAATGTCCGAATGTCACATAACCTACACATGCAGACGTTGAACACAGTCATGCCTACAATAGCAAACGGAGGAGTTCCTTTAAAGTTCACAATTCTTGTTTCATTGTGTATGCATGTATGTAAAATAAGTACATGACAATCATGAAGACTGGAGAAACACAGCCACTCAGATTGAGGTGTTTCAGCCAACTTCAGTCATAGAAATATGTTTCAAGATCATTTCAGTAAACGTTCTCCAATTTCATTATTCATCTGTCACATTTATTAATAATTTTTTCAATTGGGTCAACTAGAAAAGACGACATGAAAAGTAGCAGTCAGCAGGACAATTGTTCTTTTCAACACACGACAATATTATTGCAGTTCAAGAATATGAGCATCAGTAGTATAATAGTCAGTGCCTAGACTATCAACACAGACTAACACATCAAATATTAAATGATAAAATTCATCGTGTGAACACTTATAACATTTTAACTAAAATTAGAAACATGTATTGCACTTTGATATGTTTCAGACAATGCAACTTTCCACATCGCTAACTGATTTAACCAGAAAACTGCATTGTATGGGGAATAGAGAACCCATACATTCTTCAATATCATACAGATTCATCAAAACCTACTAATACAGTATCTTAAAAGCGTAAACTGTTTTCTTTTAATGTGATGGCTCAATGTGTCTTGAAGTGCTGTAAAAGCTACTAAATATACCAACTTCAGAATAGCTTCAGCATGATGAAACACCACTCAATTATTTATTATATATGAGAATTCTTTGGATGCTGTTTTGCTGATTCTGGCCACAAAGGTCACTCCACAACCTATCCCCATGCAATTTCAGACTATCCGGTATGGTAAAAGACTGTGTATATTTAACAAAACCTAGGAATATTAATGATTGTCAACACTATTCAAAAGGAGAGGTTTACAGTACAGTCAGTATGCAGGCACACAGCAATTTTCAATAGAGAAAGGAACCAAGAAGGTGTACATCTATAATTTTGAAAACACACTGCCTCATAAAAATTTTAAATAAAGTGGTAATTTATTGCCCATCCTTATAATTAACATATTTTAAATTAACTCCATGGAGCAGAGTCCTTGAAAAACTGACTTATTCAGCTGTGGAATAAATTCTCCACTTATTACAGGACACAGAAGTTCATTAATGTAATCTGAACAGGCCTATGGTCCTTTTTCTGAGCAACATAAACCAAGTAAACACCCTCTCTGACAAAATATCAAGATTCATTTTAAAATTATCTTCCCACCTATGTCTAGGTCTACCAAGTTGTCCTTTCACTTCAGGCGTTCAAATACAATTTTTTAACACATCTTATTTCCCCCATGCTTGCTCACGCCTGTCCATCAAATCAACCATACTTTCGTCATCCTCATATCTGGTGAAGAGTACAAATTATGAAGCTCCTTTTTATGCAGTTTTCTCCAGTCTCCTGTCATTTCATCCCTCTTTGATTTAAATATGGCAATTTTTAAATTTTACCAAAATTATTGTTTAGAAACAGTCAAGCCATTCTGAATTCTAACTTCAGAACCAATATCAATAGAACTTTTAAGTAAAAATGACTAATATATTGCTCAGATATTTCTTCTATTACTTACCAGCAAGTAACAAAGTTTCGGAAATCAGAGCTGAACGTCTGATCTGCTGGAAGTGATGGAGGATCATCTTGTAGAACTTTTGTTAGTACTTCAAAATCTGTCTTGCAGTCTTTATAAGGAAAATTACCCGTTGCTAGTTCTACCAATGTGATACCAAGACTCCATACATCTGCTCTGATATCATAATCGGGTTTTGTAGGATCTGGTGGATCTATTCTCTCAGGCTGATGAAACAATGTTATACAACATTAACACCACAAATATTACCCAGTCTTACAAATACATGTCACAAATGCATCTAACCATATTTTAACAAAACACAGAAAACAGTACAATAATTCTCAATTAATGATGTTCAGGTGCTCTGTGTTCAGAAATAAATACAATTTTGAAAAGCCCTTGTAGATCAAAATAACCAATCAGCATAGAGTCATAGGCTTTGAAATACATAAATTCAACTTACATAGCCTTTGAGATGGCAATCCAGGCTTTCTTCGGCACATGTATCATATGGATTTTAAAACATTTTTATTAAATAATTATGAAAGTTTGTTAATTTTAAATAGTATGAACTGGAAGTGGACACAGTACCAGCAGAAACTCCTCCTGCAGCATGGTAGGCCCAGGAATTTTAAAATTCCCCACACAAAAATTATTGGCAAGTACTACGCACAGATAAACAAGCTACAACTTCCATTCATATTCTAGCAAAGTAACCAACTCTTAATCTAAAGGTTTTTGATGAAGAAGTGTCATTAAACTAACACATATTAGTGGAAATCTGCCTTCATCCCTACAGTTAGAAACCAAACAATTTTGGAAATGGGATCTGCTCCTGTCAATAAGTTGAGTCCACTGGAGAAAGTTATTCTCAATCCCACGACAGCAAACAACAGTGGTTATTATAGGCAATGTATATAAAAACTAGATGTCAAAAATTAACTGCTAGAGAAATTTTTTATCAACTTATACACTGAACTCACAGTACACAGTGTTTCAAAATGGATGACCATTATAACTGGCTATATTAATATTTTGTCTTGATTTTAGGAACAGAACACGATCTTTATATTTAATGCGTGTAAAAATGCCATGGAAAAGATCGGCAATGTTTACTATACAAGATATGTTAACATCATCATAATATAATAGCAGAAAAATCATATCTGAAGAGAAACTGAATTCAATAAACACCATAAATTCATCCTAGATAAACAATAACAAAACCAAATATCATACCTGGATTTAAAATTCATAATATATGACAAACAACAAACATAAGTATTTACAGTGAACCTACTACAATGGGCTCAATGTTAGAAAATACCTCAAATAATCCTAATGAATATTAGAGAGCAGCATTCAATACTTGGCTAACAGAATGAACAGTGTAACACAAAAATACAAAATACATATGCATATTAAACCAAAATATACACAGCATGCACAACTAAATATACCACTAAACAGAACAATAAGGATCAACATGTACCATGGAAAATAACTTTAAGATAGACACACAATAACAGTAACAGGTATGTGTTTAAAACAGCTATCAGAAGACGGAAAATCCTACATCAGCATACATTTATCATTAACAGTTATGCGGAATTGAGACCATATGACTGCCTGGCACATTTTTCCTATGAGGTAGGCTATCTGCATGACCAAGGGTCATTGCTATGCAACAATGGGAACCTATTGCTATAGTTGTTCCTACTGTTGTTATACCACGGCCTTGCCTTCAGAGGGTTGGACACCCCTTTGAATTTATCCATAAGCTTAAATAATCCATGCTTCGGGAGGATGGGGACTGCCCCAAACGGGAATTGCCACCTACAGGGATATGCCACTTATGGGGATTGCACCCCTGGGGAAATCCCTATGCATAGTCCCAAACTGGGTATTTATTTAACCTCGGAGTATTTAACACGCTGGCCTTTCTGCAGGCTACTTGCTTCATTGGGGGCTGTCCCGCCTTCTGTGCTTAGGCCACCACGGCTTTAGAAATCGATTTTATGCCCTTGCAGGGCTTAAACCATGATAAGTTGGACCTCCACCGCTCCCCATAGGCCTCTGACCACTATAAACCACCATACTTTTGTGCACCATCCCCTTGGCATTTCCTTCACTGTTTTGGAGACCCCTGAGCATCTACTATCTCAGGTTAGATCATCCAAGCCTCAGGATTGGACTGCCCACAATGGGTTCTGCCACCCACAAAGCTACACCATTTACTTCTGGAGGCTAAAACCCCCTTTTAAAGTACTACTAAGTAATACCCCAAGTGTTTACTCCAAAACACGATTATAAAATTCCTGGGGCTTGACAACCCAGGCCATTCCCCAAGAAGCTTGCTTCATAAAGGCCTAGCCTCTAGCAATTGTTGCTCCAGGAGTTTTGCCCCACTGGCCACTTCACCCCTGCCTTGCCCACCAGGCCTGTATACCCTGTACCCCTACCATTCTAACTGCAGCGTTTGTAGAAGAATAATCTAATGTCACTGTTGGAACACAGTGGCTCAATAGCCTTGTATCACGTAAGTGCAACAATGACCTACAAATCACATCTTCTCCACTAAAACATTTTCAAATTCAATTAATATACAAACAACTTAACTCAAGCTTAAAAATAACACCAACTTACCGCCATGTATGCTGCACAACCTGCACTTCTTGTTTTTGCTTTAGAGTCAACAAGTCGACCAGAGATCCCAAAATCACAAAGTTTTACATTTCCTTTCTCATCTAAAAGAATATTACTTGGTTTAACGTCACGATGTATCACTCCGTGGGTTTCTTTTAAATAATGTAATGCTTTCACAGTCTGGAAACAAATTTTAGTGGAAAGAATCTTTTACTGAAAATGGCAACACTGATAACTGTGAAAAGATGAGAATCAAGCTATATTACTACAAGGAAAACAGGTTCAACTGGTGAATATTTTTTGGGTGATTCTTAGGTTATTTTACAGTGCCATTCAAAACGACAATTTACAGCACTAAATTAAATATTAAGATGGTCATGGAAAGTGAGCAGGTATGGATTTTGAAGTGGTTCATAGTGTATTTGCAAGTCCTATCCTGGTATTTGCATCGACACACTTAGAAAATCAAGAAAAATCACACTGACATCCATTTGATAGTCTGATAATTAAAGTTCCACTGAAAATAATAACAAAAGTTAATGTGAATCAACACACAAATCACTATTCAAGAATTAAATATTAGTCTTAAAATGACGACAGAATGTAGCAACTAAAATGTATGTAGAACACAATACGATTATATAATGAAAGAGATGAATACAAAATATGTTTTATTTCATACTCCAAGACTTTTATTAGCAATAAATTAACATCAAAGTCAATATAAAGTATGTGAAATGTGTGTACAACTCACTTCTCCTTTCCTAAATTTTAACCCTTTGAAGTCAATGCTCCTCTTAATATGTAAGCATTTGGTCCCACAAAGATAAATAAACATGAACAAATATAATAAAGGTAAATTGGTTAATGTCGTTTATGGAAAAAATTGTTGTTCACGCTAAGAAATTACATAAACCCCATAAATATGCTTTGCAGGCAAAATGCAGAATTACTAACTGCTAAAGTAGATGGAACATATAATTATCACTGGGCTTTAGAAAAAAGTTTAAGTTTTCATAATTGTTTCAGGTTAATACGATAACATTCTGTATTAAACTTAAAACCTTGCATAACATGCAGTGTATAGATATATAAAATCATGTCCAAAACTGTTTACACATAAAATAACACTGATGATGACCACTTGAGGTCCAAACGCATTTGGCACAATGTTATTTTATGTGTAAAAAGTTCGGTCTGTATGCACAATTTTATATATTATGTATTAAATGTAAGAACCAAAGCAGAATCTCTGTAATAGTTGAAATGATATACTATTAAAACTCACTGCATATGTGACTTTCCCTAAGATATCTTCTGGAATAGCTTTCCGCAACCTCTTGAGCAGTTTATCAAAACATGTTGCCATTAGCTCCATACAAATCCAGACATCTGATTCTGTGATGAAGCAACCCAAACATTGCACAATAAATGGACAATCATGTGACTTGAGGACTACATCAAGGTCCATAAATATCCTTTTGTTCTCTTCATTGTTACCTGATCTACGCATTTGCTGAAAACGGTAAGAACATTTAGATATGAATTGGCTGACACGAGCCAGTGATGGGAAAATATAACATTCATAAATGCAGCTGCAATGCAATGGAGTAGAAAAGTCAGAATCATCAAAAACAAAGCTATAGAATTTATCATTAATGCGAGTCTGCAGTGTAAATGAGATGCAATGGAGAAAACTCTTGCCAATTTCATGTCCAACTGATGGAACAGCAACTTACTGCCATACTTTTTTTTGGAAATTGAAAATATTAAGATAAGAAAATACAGGTAGACACAAAGGCAGTTCATCATTCATTTCATACATGTGCAGGCCTTGAAGAGTCAAAAGGACTGTAAACCTGAGAAAATTTGATTTGAGAGATGTTAAAATAATTGTCTTTGATCACTAAGTTCATTTACAAACTTTTGACTCTTGCCAAACATCAGGAGATTTGAATCTTCAATATATAAAAATAAGACTAACTGTTATTGCAAGGTGCATTTAACTAACATAATCTTAAAGACAAAGTTTTTGTTTACTTGAAATATGAGTAGCAGTGAAAGACTATCCACACTGAAAATGATCACAAATTTGATTACAAGCATGTGGATATATCCTTATCTGCAATATCTACTTCTTGAAAGAAAACAAATTTCAGATCAGAAAAATAACAATGGCACAATTAGCAAGGAAGCAATATTCAAAGCTATAAAGTACGTAGATTCACAAGAAAAAAAAAAGTGTTTATAGACAATACTTTGCAAAATGCATATTAACACAAAACAATATGTTTGGAACTTTTGCACAATGAAAACGTGAACTGTATAAAACTGGTAAATTTTATTGCATATTTACCTTTACTGCTATTACAGTATGACTTGGCTTATGCAGCATTTTAACAACATGCCCGCATGTCCCATTTCCTAACTCACCCTGGTGCTCCAAATCCTTAATCTCTGTTTTATACTTCTAGAAGGAAAATAAATAACTGATATTAATACGCTATGAGATCCAGTTGAACAGTCTACGACAAATGGTTATCCATCCACTCAATTTTCCATTCAGTTCAGTGACAACAGCTCCTGTTACTGTGTTTTCTGGACAATGAGTCCAGTGGGTCTGCAGCCCTGTTTTGTCCAAAGTTAAATTCTCAATTCAGAAGTGTTTTCTTCCTTCCACATTCTTTCTAATTTTAAATTCACAATCACCATACCATTCTATGCTACATGACATACACAGCTGAGAAAGAAAGAAAAAAACGGCAACACTTCGAGTTTGTGTACTTAATAAAAATTATACTTATACTACACACTCAAATTCACAAGTTTTCATTAATGAAACAACAGTGCAGTGCCTTCTGCCACCTTACACAACAAAATTACATAACTTGCTTATTCTTTGTGACTATTTTAAATATGGGTTCACAGCTGTCCACATAAATCTTATATTAAGCAAGTTGATGAGAGAGGGGAGATACTAACTAAAGTAATCTTTACATATAACACCTACTTCTCAAAATAAAGCAAATTGTACTTCAAAAATATGACAAACTAAAACACAAAAATCTTAATTGCTCCTTTCACATTATTAATGGTAATAGAGCCTGGTAAATTTTTCTTCTTTTAATGGATGCAAAATCTCCACTGTCATACAAAGCAATAATGATAAGAAATTTCCTTACCTCACCACTCAACATCATCCCAACCGTGCTATGCAAAGTGTCAGACGACAGTAAAAATATAATCAGTTCCAGACAATTGCTTTATTTTATACCTTTCTCTTTACCATCCTTCAATAATGTAGTAAAGAGATGGATTGTATTTATCAGCAGATCTGAAATCACCTATCCTTTACCTTTATCTGGTGTATTAATCATAATTTGTGCATAAATAAACTACAATGGCCACATCTTTTATATTTTCAATAAAAAAAGTTCAGAAGAAATATCAGCACACAATGTGTTTTCATTCTTTCTGACCATGTGGGGAAAAAATCCATAATGGGTGTTCATGTGTACTTTAAAACAGTCATTTCACATAGAATGGCCAACTTAAATTAATTACATCTTTATTGGTCCCAAGAAAATCATGTGAACTCCCAGACTAGTAAAAAAATACAAATGATTTCTAATTCTGAGTGACAGAGATGCCAATGTATCAGTAAATGTTGTCAAAAACATTAAAAAACCACACAACCAACAAATTCTATTATAATTATAATATTTTGTGTGGATACAGTTTAGATCCTTTAATGGAGACATACCTTTCCGTTAATACTAAGAATACCATTCCTCTTCATAATCTCTTCTTGTAATTTACTTTCAATTTCTCCCCCATCTTGATTTCTTTGTTGCATCATAGATGGCAATACTGGTAGATCTAGTTGCTTTCTCGGCTTCTGAGGCGTTCCTTCACCTCTTGTTATTCCTTCCACTGTTTGGACCACTTAAAAAACAGAATAATTCAGTTTCTGGTATGGACTCAGAGTACAGTAACAAACATATATGAATGAACACATCCATCAAAGTTCAAAGAAATTACACTCCTACTACATATTTTTGCATTATCAACAACCAACATATGTGTGTATATGAGGGGTAGTCAAAACGTTCCCGGAATTGTGGTATAGCACTGTAATGGTAGGACATATCGCAACGCTTACCTAATCACCTTCAAAGTAGGACCCTTGTGCACACACACACACACTTGCTCCATCAATCCTGTCATTGTTGGAAGCTTCGCTTGGAATCTTCCGGAGTTCGGCCGTAGCATTCGATATGATGTCCTCCATGGTTGCGAAACACGTCCCCTTGAGGCCCATTTTCAGAGTAGGGAACAGCCAGAAGTCACTCGGAGCGAGATCTGGAGAGTACGGTGGTTGGGTGATGATGGGAATGCTTTTCTCGGCTACACAACCAGCGAGGTGTCGAATGCAACGGCCGAACTCCGGAAGATTCTAAACGAAGCCTTCCACCAGTGCTCCCAACATTGGCAGAAGCCATGGAGCAAGTGTGTGTGTGTGCACAAGGGTCCTACTTTGAAGGTGATTAGGTAAGTATTGCCATATGTTCTACCATTACACTGCTATACCACAATTCCGGGAACTTTTTGACTGCTCTACGTACATATTTACTAGTTAAAATATCCTTTCTTCAAACTCGGTTTTTCTTAAAACAAACATACTAACGTAATAAAATTCCTACATAAAATATGTAATGTCACATCTTTCATACACCCTTAATGCATGTATCTATGTCCAAACACATCTTCATGTACCTTTACCTTTAATAAACTTCATAAACAATGTAAATAGCAGGGACTGACACATGAAAGAAATTAACACTAATTTGTTCTTACCTATTAAATCCAAGTTCTATACTACATGAAAGGATGGATATCATATACTATTAATAAAATCTTATTAAATACTCGGTTTGAATACATTCTTCTTACTCATCATCCAATTCAAGTTCTAAGAACAAAAGGCTGTGACACAACACATCTTTTCTATTATTTACTGCCAGGTGGTGATTCCTTTACGCATTAAACTAGGTAACGTTGCCTAGTAAGATGAAGGTGGCAGAAAAAGACTGCTTTGTGCATTACATAAATCACATATGATATCTCAGAAACCAAAACATGAAACAGGACACTACAGTGATGGCAGGAATTTATAACAGCAAAATTGTGAAGCCTTACACTATATGAATAAAAATAAGGATATCACATAAACAAACATGATAATGCGCTCATTCTACAACTAAGAATTAACTTATTTCCTTGTAGTAACTGGCAGTAATGTGGCATATGGTCACTGAGAGATACG